TTCCAGTAGTGAGAAAAGAATGATCACATCGATAAGAGGGTCAGAAAAAAAAAAAAGCGAGAATTCAAAACATTTATAGTAGTGGGAACACAAAACTCGAGGAGTTTGGAAGAAAAAGATCTCTTATTCACATAAATCGCATAAATATTATTTTACTTGTATTTTTATTCGACAACCCGAACATTACAAGTCAAGTCTATTTAACGGACATTTATATGGTATAAGATTGTACCGTACATCATTAATCATCAATTATTAAACGATATTAATTGATAAAAAATGTTAACGATTTCAGAGAAGTCACTAAGTGAAATTTGAACAGTATTTTAAATTTCAGTGGCATGTAGTGTTTCAGTGTAAAAAAGTTGGCCCATTTGAAAGGATATAGCAATAATAGGGAAGTTCTAGCTGCACTTGCTCCCCTCCCACACTCTCCCATGGACACACTTTTTTATTATTTGACAATTGTTTCTTCTTTCCTCCAAATACGCTTATCTTAAATCAATATTTTGCTACATTGTCGCGACCTAAATTTTCTCAGGCTAATGAATTATTAAGACTAAGCCTAACTCGGGCCCTCCCAAGCCCTACCATTTCGCAACTTAGGATTTAAGTTTTTAATATGCAAAAGTTTTCATGCTTAGAGTCGCTACTAATCTATTTGTGGTAGGTCGATTAGAAATCTAAATAAAACATAGGAAGATATGTTTTATTCCTACGAACCAGAGATTCTAAGCTCGGGGACTTAATTACGCTAGATCTAGTCTAACACCCTTTCGGTACCTTTTCTTTTCAAAAATGTTTATGCAGGCAGTTTGAATCCATTTTATTACCTAATCACTAACATGTGAGGTGTTCATGCGGGTGCGCAAACCACCAATTTAACACCCAAGAAAGCAATAAATAAATTGCAAGATTAGGAAAATGACGTACCTTAATGCAACTCAAGCATATGCATTGTTAGTAGAAAATCACACAAACAATCCTAATATGATTTCTAATTAACAAAGCAAGGCACTTAAGGTGTTGTTTAGGGTTTGCGCTTTATTAAAATGCAAACTAACCTATATGCAATGACGTGCAAAAAATGACATGCGATTAATGCAACCTAGCATGCAAACTATATGTCATGCGACGACGTGACCTAATTCTAATGACGGAAAAATGATTTATCTTTTGGTATTTTTTTCAATGAAATTCGGAATTAAAAATACTCAAATCAACATGCAATCTATCCTAGAGAAAATGATTTGATCTATCCTAAAGTGATTCTTTTTTTTTTTTGAGATTTTTATTAAAATTCGAAAGCATAGTTTGCAGCTAAAAGCACGCTCTCATTCCTCAATAACAGATTTACCACAGTAAACGTTCGGCGGCCAATTACTAGATTTAGTGATGAGCACAAGCCGATATCCCCCACTCCATTTTCAACGGCTTGCGGTGCACGTCTAGATTCAACGTCCTCATCGCTATCACCGTGCAAAGACACTAACATCAATATGTTGAAAGAACATATAGCAAATACCTGTAAGGAACTCCCAGATTTAAACCTGAATCTAAATCAGGAGAATAAACTCCTAGATCTAGACTTAAATCTAACTCGGGAGAGGAGAGCGATCTAATATCGGATAAATTGTGGAGCCACGTCACGCACATTTTTCTCGATGGCTATCAACTAGATGAATGGTCGAACTGGACTCAATGTTTCACCCAAGATCAACCGCAGAAATTTATTTATACACAAAATCTCCCAAAATAGATCAAGAGAAAAAAGAAAAGATGGTCGAAGCAAAGAAAAATTTTTGCTGTTAATTGGCCTCTCATTTTTCTTGCAAACCATTAAATTTAGCCTTGAACTCCAATTACTTCAAGGGTTAAGATGAACAATCTTGTACTTGGGGCTAAAATTGGCTGCTGACCAGTCGTTGATTGGTAATTTAAGGAACCAATGTGTGCTTTGGTGCAGTTGATCATTAATTCATTACCCACATCGCAAAGAAGCTCTCAGCCTCTCTTCCCTCTCTATCAGTCGCTTGTCTCATTTCTGTCAACAAAGGGATCATCATCTACAATCACGTAGTCCGACGTCATCGTTGCCACAATCACCAGGAACGTCATTACGGTCTAAAAAAAATTAACAGTTCCCTCCAGTTTACGGTCTAAAAATAGTTGAGACTCCTTAACTTTGATGCACTAAACTAAAATCTCAATCCTCATTCTTATCGTGGGCTGACCACCTAAGAATATCTAAATAATCCATTAAGATTAAAATAATCTCTAATTTAAACTAGGAAATATGCTACCCTAGATCCCAATTTAAATCAAATAATTATCTTATTCTTTTAGATATATTAAGGATTCTTTAAGCATGCAAAATTTCTAATTTAAATCTAACTAACAAATTTTTGGATTTTCTTTATTTAAAAGGAAAACAATTAAACAAAGATAACAATCACATTCAAACAATCCATGCAATCCGCAAGATTCTTCAAATTCAGATAAGGCAAAGAAATCAAACTAACGGTCATATCTATAGGGTTATAGATATCGACAGAAAGTTGATTGTTCAAATTTGAAAAGCAAATAAATCCTATTATCGTACCCAAGTGATTATGGGTAAGATAACAATTTTCCGTATCGCCGCGTATCGTACCTTAGGGATAAGGTCGAATAGTCGTCCAGATACGTTGCCAAATTAGGAATGAAGAATCTTAATTTTGGGTATTTTCGAATATTGCGGATATAGCACACATCATCCTAACATATCTAGCAATCCATGCACTATTCACGAAATATTCAAACACCCGAAAGATTAGAGATTGAATATTCTAAGAATATAGATGAGAATCTTACCTAATTTGTGGATATTTCAATTCGAACTCGGATCGGACTCATGCTTGTGAATCGGGACGGCGACCGATGGCGACGGTTCTCACGACGGTGACATGGTGGTGGATGATGTATGATAACAAAATTCAATGGATCAACGCCAAGGTTGTAGGATCGCCAGAAAAGATCGGAATTTGCTAGACCAATAGAGAATTTCACGGTAATCCTGCAAAAAATAGACGAAGCAAGGGAAGGACAGCGTCGGATCTTGGGCTGTTGTGCTCACTAGAAAACTTTTCTTTGTTCAACAAAGCAACCCATGTGATATTGCGATTTGACAGTGAACGTGGCTTCTTTTCTCTTCCTCAAAGCCACCTGTTTGCTACACGATATCAAAAACGGTGGTCAAAGTCCCTCTTTTCCTCACCCCACCTCCACCACTTGGCTCTCTATAATTGTATTATTATCAGTCTTCCTCTGCTCGTTTGACTTATGGCCATTGGAGGCGACTGATGCTCCCGGAAACACTTGTTGATAGGCGTTGTGTGGCGGCTCAGCAGGGATCACGAGTCAGGAAGCAGCAGTGATGTTAAGAGGGACAGAGCAGCGCAGCAACGTCGTCAAGGAGGTCAAGACAGAACAGATTCGCGTCGGTGCAGGGGAGTCCTCGGCGGGGTTTTCGACTGGATCGGGCAACGGGAAGAAGCAGCACCGGCTGGGGAACAGCAACTGCATAGCAAGGACGTCATCGAGCGGCTAGGACTAATTGCGGTAGTGCAGCAGCTCGGTCAGCGGAGAGATGCGGCAAGGGGTGCAGCCAAAGGTTTGGTCGCGGAATCTTTTCAAGCTCTCTTTCTCACTCAACTCAAATGTATCTCTCGTGCCTCTGAAAATTCTGTGTCTGAAAATTATGAGAGTTCCCCCTTGATTATGACCCATAACGACATATTTATATCGCAACCTAGGTTAATTAACCGGGCTTCCTAGTCCTAATGAGCTTATACTTAGGCTTTATCATTTAATTTAATTTTAATTCTAAATGGGCTAAATTAATTCGGGCTGATTTAAGCTCGAATTAAAACAACCAAAGCCTTTTAGATTTGTGAATTTTGGCCCCCAATCCCTTGAGTGAACCGAGTGCTCAAGCTCAGTTTACGCGATGAATTTTCAGCTTTCTCGCCACCGCCGGTCCGATACGGAATGCAACTAACCTATATGAACTTAAACTATATGCTATGCAATTTTAATATTTTTGTTTAGGGGTGAAAATTTAATCCTTAATTTTCTATGCAAATTATTATTAAATGGTCGGTCGAAATTTAGATGTCAACATACATAAAAAGACATTTAAATCATAATAAATTATTTTGTTCTCTGGGTGGCATCCAAACAATATTATGACTTAATGCCTCTATTTCCTTTGTCTTTTTTTTTCTCATGATTATTTATATAATTTCTATTTCTTTCTAATTAATCGCCTCTATCAATACATAGCATAATCGAATTTGCTAGTGAATTCGTGGGATGACAGAGAGATCTAAAGGCGTGAAACTAATTCAACGAGCCGCGACACTGATTAAAAGATCAGTTTGTGGGATTTGGGAGCCATGGCCATCTATATTATTTCCAACCAATACCTCAAGCACCAAACTATTAGTTTAGCACTCGAGATCAATGTCTAAGCAAAGATCTAATTGAACAAGCAGCGGCACTTGGCCCTCCATAAAGAATTTTTCGATTTTTGACTGCATGTGTGACTCGAAGCCCACATTAAGATGATCTTGAATCAATAAAAACCAATAAATGATTTGTCAATTTGAAGAAAACTCAAAGAACTCGGGAAGTAAGTTCAAGTCAGCTACTGCTTCATCATGAGCTAAAAGTATTACTCCAATAGTTGATGCAGTTGACTCTATAATGTTTTTTTCTCCTCCAGGAAAAATTTATTAGTTGATTTCTGAATCGGTCAAGGACCGACTAAACAATCAATATAAAAAGCTATACATGCACTAATTGAATTCATTTAATTCTTTTGTAGGGGCTACAATCTAGCTCTCGCAACTTTTCTTTTTTTTTATCTGTTCTATCTCTTAACTTGTAATGTCAATTCTCCTTGCTTTTTGAATTTTGCTGTGCTTCTTAGAGAGCGCAGGAGTCAAACACCGTAGATGTGATACTATTGGCTAGCTCTTGCACCTTACTAAGCGAATTAAGGGCACCGACCCCGCAATTACATCTGAGCCCCTCCTCCTTCGCGCGTACTCTGTACGCAATACAAAAGGCAGAAGAGTCCAAGCAGAGTCAATACTACGGATAAGGGTTGGATTTCTCACGGGCTCAAATTGAGACGATCGTCGATCGTCCCGATCAATCCGATTGATCCCCGAATTGAGATCACTGCCTACTGCACCGTCGCTCTTCTCGTCGCCGATCGCACATCGCTTCAGGTTAGTCGGTCCCCGATTTCGTCCTCTCTAGCGTTTTGTTTCTCTTACTACCTGGGGGGGGCGGATTCCGTGTCTTATAAGGTTCCTGTTTCGCACCACGACGGTTCTCCAGTCCTTCGATCTGCCTTCCGTTATCAAAAGCTTTGATTTTTTTTCAGCATCCGGGTGTGAATTTTTTTTCCCGATTCTCTCCCTCTTCCCGTGCTTGAAAGATTTTCCGGAAAGTGATGTTGAATGTCGTCTGCTGTTGCTTGTTTTGTTGATGCTCTCTATAATCTCTCGTTACGGCTGCCTGCACTGGTGCCTCGCGGTATTGGGTGTGGTTTGTTCGCTGTGAAAAGAGTTTTTTTTTTTTTAATTAATATGTATGTGAGCACCAGCTCGGGCATGCGTAGACCCTTTGCGAGTTTTGAACGATAGCAGGAAGGGTGAGCGAGATCTTTTTGTAAATTGATTTGATGAACGTAGAGGCAGATATGTCGGGGCATGTATCTAGTCAATCGGGCGCTCAGTTGCCTGGGGTGTCCCACCAAAATGGGAATGCTGTCCCGGATATAGTAGCTGCAGGCGGCGGTGTCCCTCATGCTGCGTTCGGGGTGGACACGGATCTTGTCAGAGCTCGGCGCTACATGCAAGAGAAGATGTAATCTAATCTGGAGCACTTGTTCTTCTTGTGCTTTAACCTCCACAGCTCCATTGGTCCTTGTTTGCTGATTGGACTTTTTACTGTCCTTTTCAGCTTTGTTCTCTTGGCAGAGCGGCATCAGCAGCCAATTAATTACTCTCAAATGCAGAAGCTGAAGGATATTGTTATACGCCTGGAAGACAGTCTCTTCAAATCTGCTCACTAGAGGTCTTCCCATCCTCATCATTTCTCTCCACTTCTTCTTTGTAAAAGTACAAAAAGCGGCTTATGATTGCCCTTTATTGGGTTTTTTTTTTATGGGGTTTTACATTTTACATCTGCGAAAGCCAATAATCTGTTCATTTCTCTTGCCTGGTTTCACCTGTTTTTTCTCGTCATTATTAGTATTCCCTTTTCTTTTTTGGTGAATAGGGCTTGACATTCTTTTGCTCCTATAATATTACAATTATGCAGGATGAGTATATGAATTTAGGCACATTGGAGTCCCGGTTGCATAGTTTGATCAAGCGTCCATCTCTTAATAATCAAAATCCAGTCAATCCTAATTCAATGACACAACGATGATTCCAACTCCTGGATTGTCGCATAATGGGAGTTCGACCATTATGGTGATATCTTCTTTCCTCCGAACACCCTTATTTCAAATTATAGCTGCATAAAATGACATTCAAGTCATAATACATTATTTTATATTCCTTGCTCTCGTTAGCATCCACAAATTATCATAACTTAATGCCTATATTTTCTTTTCCTTCTTTTTCTGTCGTTATTATTTGAGTAATTTCTTTTCCTTTCTAATTAATCACCTCTATCAATACATAGCATAATTGATCTAGTCTTGTTTCCATTCAGCGGAAGAACAGGAGGAGAAGAACGTGAGACATCTGACTAGGGAGAACTCTCTAATAATGAAGTTTCATTACTTGAAGCTTCTAAGGAGTCCTCAACAAATTGGGCATGGTTTAATCGTCATTTCTTGTGAAACCTTATATGTTATGGGATGTTATATTGAATTTGCTAGTGAACTCATGGGATGACAGAGAGATCCAAAGGCGTGAAACTTAATTGTTCATGTGGTAATTAATGGTTTGCAATTTGTTTATGTGCCTGGTCATGTGTCGTGTTAAGTATTCCAAGCTCTATTTAGACAGCGTTTGAGTAATGTTCGATGTTATGAAACTTATAAAGCCGGTGCCCCCTTGTATTATGGAACTAATAAGTATTGTCATGTATCTTGTGAAGAACTGTTTGGTGCTCCTGAAAAAAGTGTTATTTAGAGTTAATTTTTCTTTCTTGTATTTGGCTATTTACCATCAAGTATGCTGTAGTCGATGTATGACTATTTTGTGAGAGCTAAAACACTCTGTTGTCTTGTTTTAAGTAGATGATGAATGTATAGGTTTATGAGCCATCATCTTGTGGGTGCCTAATGTAAGGGGAAGCCATTGTTTGTCCATCAAAGTTCCCATATTGCATATTTCACTAGGCCAATTCCTGCGTGATCGGGCTATTAGTTCCCCCACTCAAGACTTGAGCATGCCTTGAGCCATAGGTATGCTCAAGTCTGCCTTAGCTTCGGGCTCATATTCTACTTTTTGCTGATTTTCATAGCTCATACTGCTAGAAAAGGCATTTGGCTGTTTTGAGTTTACTGTAACTATTAACATCAGCACCAACATACTTTGGTCGCCGCATAGAATGTGTTTGGTTTCAAGACCGCCAATGTGTTTGCCGATAGAGCCACAGTCTCATGCCGACGACGGGCATCTCAGGCGCCACTTTCCTGGAACAATGTCTAAGTGAGCATCGATAGAGATTGAACTAAGTCTGTGTCTATACAAAGTTTATTTCCTGAACTTAGAATTGATTATATTTAGTGGCGTTGCCACAAGCCTAATATGTCGGCTGGAGCTTACTTAAGGAAAAGATCAGCTTGCGGGATTTGGGAGCCATGGCCATCTATATTATCTCCAACCAATACTTCAAACACCAAATTATTAGTTCAACACTCAAGATCAGTGTCTCAACAAAGATGCAATTCAATGAGTTGAGAAACCTGACCCACCATAAAGAACTTTCCGATGTTTTGTTCGCATGTGTGACTCGAAGCCCACGTTAAGATGATCTTGAAACAATAAAATCCAATAGCTGATTACGTCCTGGTGCAGGATCTTGGTCAGTTTGAAAAAAACTCAAACCAACTGGGGAAATAAGTTCAAGTGTGCGGCTGCGTCATGAATTCATTTAATATAAAAACCTATACATACACTAAATGAATTCATTTAATTCTTTATCAGGGAAAAAGAAAGGAGTTGGCTCCAATCCGGCCCTTGCACCTTTACTAGGCGAATTAAGGGGCACTGACCCCACAATAACATGTGAGCCCCCCGCCTTCGCACGCACTGTGTACGCACTACAAAAGGAAGAGTCCTAGCAGTCAAAACCGGTCAAATCTTTGTGTGCAGTTATGAGAGGCCCTTCAAGGAAGGAAATTCAATCAAAGATAAGAAAACGTGGGATTCCTATCCTCGCATCTGATCAGCGATGATTTCTCCAGTAAAAATCCTTCTCAATATTACGGATTTCGGATTGGATTTCGTACGAACTCAAAGTTCGAGATATAATTTAACATAAATAGAATTGAGACCATCGTAAATCGTCGCGATCAAATCCGATTGATCTCCGAATTTGAGATCACTGCCTACTGGCGCCGTCGCTCTTCTCGTCGCGGATCGCACTTCACTTCAGTTTCGTCGATCCCCGATTTCGTCCTCTGACGGGGGGATTCCGGGTCTCATAAAAGGTTCCTGTTTCACACCACTGACGGTTCTCCAGTCCTTCAACCCGTCGTCTCCCGTTATCAAAGCTTTGATTTTTTTTTTCCCAGCATCTGGATGTGAATTTCTTCCCAATTTTTCTCCCTCTTCCCGTGCTCGAGAGATTCTCGAGAGAGTGATGTTGAATGTCGTCTGCTTTTGCTTGCTTTGTCGATGCTCTCTATAATCTCTTGTCACGGCTGTCTGCACTGGTGCCTGGCGGTTCTGGGTGTGGTTTGTTCGCTGTGGATAGAGTTTTTTTTTTTATATGTTGGCACCAGCTCGGGCATGCGTAGACCTTTGCGAGTTTGAATGATTACAGGAAGAGTGAAGCTCGAGCTTTTGTAGATTGATGTGATGAATGTACAGGCAGATATGTGGGGGCATGTATCTAGTCAATCGGGCCCTCAGTTGCTTGGGGTGTCCCAGCAAAGTGGCAATGTTGTCTCGAATACGGTAGCTGCAGGCGGTGGTGCCCCTCCTGCTGCGTTTGGCGCGGACACGGATCTTCTCAGGGCTCGGAGCTATATGCAAGAGAAGATGTAATCTAATCTGGAGCACTTGTTCTTCTTGTGCTTTAACCTGCACAGTTCCAGTGGTCCTTGTTTGCTGATTGAACTTTTTACTGTCCTTTTCAGCTTTGTTCTCTTAGCACAGCGGCATCAGCAGCCAATTAATGACTCGCAAATGCAGAAGCTGAAGGATATTGTTATACGCCTCGAAGACGGTCTCTTCAAATCTTCTCACTCAATGGTCTTCCCATCCTCATCATTTCTTGCCTCTTCTTTTTTGTAAAAGTACAATAAGCGGCGGATGATTGCCCTTTATTGGGTTTTTTTCGGTGTTTTACATTTTATATCTGCGAAAGCCAATAATCTGTTCATTTCTCTTGTCTGGTTTCACCTGTTTTTTCTCGTGATTATTAGTATTTCCTTTTCTTTTTTTGGTGGATAGGACTTGCCATTCTTTTGCTACTTTAAAATTACAATTATGTAGGATGAGTATATGAATTTGGACACATTGGAGTCCCGGTTGCATAGTTTGATCAAGCGTCCATCTCCTAATAATCAAAATCCAGTCAATCCTATCTCAATGACAACGATGATTCCAAGTCCTGGATTGTCGCATAATGGGAGTTCGACCATGACGGTGACAACTTCAGTGGATGGACCTATGAGTAATATAGCTGGGAGTAGTAGCGTGCAGCCAACGAATGCAAACACGGGAAGCCTTATGTCAAACAGAATTAATCCAAAGGCATGTGCTCTCTATAAACTCTTGTTATGGCTGTCTGCATTGGTGCCTGGCGGTATTAGTTGTAGTTGTTCACTGTGAATAGAGTTTTTATGTATGTAGCACCAGCTCAGGCATGTGTAGACCCTTTGCGAGTTTAAATGATTACAGGAAGAGTGAGAGCTTTTGTAGATTGATGTGATGATTGTACAGGCAGATATATCGGGGCATTTATCTTGTCAATCGGGCACTCAGTTGCCTGGGTTATCCCAGCAAAATGGCAATGTTGTCCTGAATATAGTAGCTGCAGGCACTGGTGCCCTTCATGCTGCGTTCAGCGTGGACACGGATCTTCTCAGAGCTCGGAGCTATATGCAAGAGAAGATGTAATCTAATCTAGAGCACTTGTTCTTGTGCTTTAGCTTCCACAGTTCCATTGGTCCTTGTTTGCTGATTGAACTTTTTACTGTCCTTTTCAGCTTTGTTCTATTAGCACAGAGGCATGCACAGCCAATTAATGACTCTCAAATGCAGAAGCTGAAGGATATTGTTATACGCCTCGAAGACGGTCTCTTCAAATCTTCTCACTCAAAGGTCTTCCCATCCTCATCATTTCTCTCCTATTCTTCTTTGTAAAAGTACAAAAAGCGGCTTATGATTGCCCTTTATTGGGTATGTTTATAGTGTTTTACGTTTTACATCTGCGAAAGGCAATAATATGTTCATTTCTGTTGCCTGGTTTCACCTGTGTTTTCTCGTGATTATCAGTATTTCCTTTTTTTTGGTGAGTAGGACTTGACATTCTTTTGCTACTTTGAAATTACAATTATGTAGGATGAGTATATGAATTTGGGCACGCTGGAGTCCCGGTTGCGTAGTTTGATCAAGCGTCCAACTATTAATAATCGAAATCCAGTGAATCCTAATTCAATGACAACGATGATTCCAACTCCTGGATTGTCGCATAATGGGAGTTCGACCATGATGGCGACATCTTCAGTGGATGCACCTCTGAGTAATATGGACGGGAGTAGCAGCATGCAGCCAACGAATGCAAACACGGGAAGCCTTATGTCAAGTGGTGTCATGCAAACACAGGAATCCTTATGTGAAGCCTTATGTCAACTTGAATTGTAAATGAACGTTTTCATTCAGATGTTGACCTTATGTAGGATGTTTTGCTATGTTTTGAAGTTGGGGTATAATTTGAACGATTTTCCTGTTTCCCAGAATATCAATGAAGATATAAACACCTACGCACTGGCGCTGATGATCAAACATTCACTTGGAACTTCGACCAGAAAAGGATGAGAATGCAAAACAATAGGGGATTTATTCACATTTCAGAAAATGTTACAGCTAAAATATTCAACCTGTCATTCCCTATGAAGGAACAAAAAGAAGCAGGACATACGACAAACCTAAACTGTGGACTCTGCGTGTAAGAATGAATCACATGCCAGCTACTCAAGATTTTTCCAGTGATCAAACATACTTCGGAGTAAACCCAGCATCAGGTAAATCGCCATCTCTGCACATGATGCTGCATTTCCCGTGATGTCACCTGGAATCCTGGCAACTTTTATTCCATTTTTGGTGGCAGCGTCAATATCAACACCTTCGTGGAGATGTAAATGTTGGGTACTAAATTCAATTAAGATCTAACAAAACATAGTAATAATACTGACAAAATAAACCAAACTCGGGGAGATTATCACCTTCCAGACCGACACCAGATTGCATTATAAGCTTCATCTGTTTCACTCAAGCTATAGTATCTGAGTCGAGGCGCTTGTTCTTCACCACACAAATATGGTAGTTTCCTATAACATGTGGCACCTCATCTAGGGCCACTCATCAACCTATGAAAATGGAAAACAGATGAACGAATGATCTTCAAGGTGCCGCTAGAGAGAAAATTTGGAAACATATGAAACAGTAAGTCCTTACACTGCCATAAACCCAAGCACACTGATTAACGCGGATATATCTACATTTAAACGTAAGACCGAGCCAAATGTGCAAAGTTGAACATGCTTTCTATTCCTAGTCTGTTATTTATCCAAAGGCATGTGCTGGCGATAATGGGATCATTACGGCAAGTTTAAGTAGGACCCTGACAAGAGCAGATTGGTTTGTTTATTTAGCCAAGTAAAATTTCATCGCTTACTACAGTGTCTCAAAGTATACAATTCTACTATCTTACAACGATCAGAGGCAGAAACGGGATATCACTTCAGTGCAATAGGTAGTTGAAATCCGGCTCTACCAATGGATGTGAAAATAATTGGATGGCATCGAGACCTCAAGTCGATGCAATCAAATCCCTTTTTTCCGCTCAAAACACATCCAGCTAATTCCATCAACCACTTGCAACCGAAGAAAGTGGAACATTAAAGCATTTTCTTTCATATACCGTAGGGGAATCAGAATCACATAGGGTCTGAACCTGGATAAATGGTTATTGGCTCAAGTAGACTTTGGTGTGATTGTGAGACGCCAGGAAGTAGCGCCTGCAAAAGAGGACGCAGGTGACGCCTTCTTCACCGGCTCCATTCCCATTTCCCTCCACTTCCGTTGAGCTTGTGAAGCTGTAACTCGGAGTTAGAGAGAGAGAGAGAGAGAGAGAGAGAGAGAGAGAGAGAGAGAGAGAGAGAGAGAGAGAGAGAGAAGGCAGGGACGTTGACGTACTTACAACTGGGGACTGGTGAGGTGGAGAAAGAGACGGAGTTTGTAGCCTCCACAATCTACACCAAAGCACAGAACATTCCTCGATGACAGACTAACTCATAATCCGAAAGGATGCTATTCAGTTCGATCGAGCGAGCTAAATTCGAGGAAAAGACGGTAACAAATCGATCGCCACTGCATTTTCGACGTAGACTAGCCAATCAAGCCGAATCATGTCCAATCGCAGGTAACTAAGTACGCTGATCGAGTTGAGCTGGGACATGAACGGCAGATATCAGTAGTAAGATAGAGAGAGGAAGCCGTCGTGATAAACCTTGCGCTTCTTCTGCTTCAGGTGCTTCGTGAAGACGACGCTCCACTTCTTGGAAGCATCATCCAGGGCGGTTTCTGCATTTGGGGGGATGAAGAAGAAGAAGATCTTCTAGGGATTTCGAGAGCTGCGAGAGCGACACCGCCTTTGAGAGCTTAAATAGTTATGGAGGGAGATGAATTATTTAATATGAGTTCAAAGGCTAAGTCACTGCACAACCACACCCTTTGCGTGACTTTCTCAAACAAACTTTTGATTCGATTTTAACTCACACCGCGAGCTAAACAAGAAAGCCTATTAACAGGAGAGCATAGTATTTAGCACGACAGCATCAAGCAAACTCATGATTCGTCCTTTAATCAAGAAAACCTTTATACCTTCTCAAGTCTCTGTCATAACCCTCCTAAGAAGTTTAATCACATTCTGTTGGGGGGAAAAGATCCCAAAGCGTCCATCGATAATTTTGTTGGACCCACATTTATGCAAAAGTTTCAGCCATTGAATTATGTGCCAAGTAGGAATTATCTGTTTTTTTTTTACTAGCTTTGGACATCCAATGCGGAATTTCTTCCCTCTCATGACTCTCGCGCGTGTGTTCGGTGCATTTTGTGCGGGATAATGTGACCGATTATATAACCAATGCTGGTCTTGAGATTTTTTGCTTATCATAAGTGATGACTTATTTGCACATCGGTGGTAATCTCTTGGAAGATTACTCCATTCTTTTCTTCTTGGGGTGCTTTTCTTGTGTCGGTGGATATAGAATATGTGATTATCAATGCAATACGCAACTTTCCGAGAACTTATTCCTTTCCTCTCTTCTTTGCAACTCGCAGGCCTATATGTGTTCAGAGCTTGGTAACGCATCATAAGTGAATTCTCGAGTCATTCTCTATCGTAATCTCCACTGATCATTCTCAAGTAGTACAATACCAATGGCCGAATCGGTTGTTTCGTCTGTGGGGCAGACAATAGGAAATTAGCTGCTCATCGACGAGGCCAAATTCTTGTGGGGCGTGGAGGGCAAGGTCGGGGACTTGCAAATGGAGCTGAACCTGATCCGGTGCTTGCTGAGGGATGCGGACAGGAGACAAGAGCACAACGAAGCTGTCGGAGAATGGGTCACGCAACTCCGAGACGTTGCCTATGATGCCGAGGACGTCATCGAGCGATACATCCTCAGAGTCGCGCCAAAGAAGGGACGAAACATCATCAAAGCGTATGCTTGCTTCATGGCAAAGTGCACGTGCGTGCATACTCATGTGGTGGCAACAGAGATCGAGGGCTTAAAATCCAGAATTTCCGATATTGGAAGCAGGATGCAGAAGTATGGCATACAATCTGTGAAGGAAGGGGAACGCGAACACGCGAAAGCTTCCACGCCGAAACAGACTTACGACCATTTTGAGGAGGATTTTGTTGGGAGGGAAGACAATATTAAGGAGTTGGTGAAAGAGTTGTTGAAGGATGGAAAAGAGCAGAGAGTTATTTTTATATGGGGAATGGGTGGTTTGGGTAAAACTTCACTCGCTAGGCAAGTCCTCGCTCTTGACAAAGTGAAGAAGAATTTTGATTGTTTCACTTGGTCTTACATATCCCAAGAATACAACGTGAAAGATATCTTGGTGGAAATTCTTGTTAATTTGATCCCTCATCAAAGAGAGAGGGTTATGAACATGATAGATCATGAATTGTTTAAAGCTCTATACAAGATCCAACAAGAGAAGAGATGTATTGTGGTTCTTGATGATATTTGGACCAAACGGGCATGGGATAGTCTTCGAGCCGCATTCCCAGTCAAGAACACGAGAAGCAAGCTAGTGATAACAACCCGCAATAGAGAAGTAGCGGAGTATATTGATCCTCAAGGTTTTTTTCATGAACCTCAGTGCTTATCGGACAAGGAGAGCTGGGAGTTGCTGATGAAGAGAGCGTTTCCTAAAACGAAAGGTAAGGCTTCTCGAAGGATATTATCCTACCATATAGTAGCGTCAAGATATTATAAAGCTCGTTGAATTCGATTTATGGCTCTTCCACAGGGTTAGCCGTTGGCCTTTCTTCTGTTGGACCAAAAGTCGGTGAAGGTATTACTGTGGGGCAAGCTGTAGAAGGTATCACAATACAGTTAGAGGTGGAGGGACAAAGACAAGGTGCTTGATTATTCAATCTGGTCTCTTGGAAGGTTTAACAATTTATAACTTGATAGCTTGTACTGGAGTTGGAATGATTGATATATGGAGTAATAGGCATCAAAATATTGATATTTGGGAAATGATATGCCTCTTTTATTTCTTAATAGCTAGCAATTGTACTTCTAAACAAACATCCACAACTTTGCTCCTCCTTTCCTCTAGTGAGGATGACTATCGAAGAGGCTTTTATATGGCCAACATAATAAGCGGTTTTGATAGGATTTATGAAATAATGTGAAACCTAGCTATGTTACTTCTTCCATAGGCTTAATCTCAGGTCCACCTTTTATGCATTTGCAAATAGTTGGCTTAATAATAAGATTTGAGATTGTTAGGAAAATCGTGACTCTTTATGCGACTAGAGCGGCAAAATGAAGATTTCACTAGAATCTGTGCAGGAG